TAGCACTGGACTGCTAACCACAAAGTTGGTTGTTCGAGCTCACTAGCTGCTCCTTGGAAACTCTCTACTGGCTTAGAATGAGTCAGAGCCAACTGAACAGCACTTAACAATAACAACAAGACTTAGTTTTGGAATTTTATTACAGTTTACTTGGTGTGAATCACTTTGTTTTAAAATTGGTATTGTAAATGTACTTCTTCATGTTATTTTCAAGAAGTTCTTTGACTGCGTGGTTTTGTGTATTTCAAGAATGGATGTAAACAAAGGTACATTTAGCAACTGTATATGTAGATATATAAATGTATAGATGCATATGAATCACATCATTCAGAAGACAGAGTAGACAGCCTTCATCTGGATGACTAAGAACCGATCTTATTTTCAAATGGGGTCTTTCTCACTGTGCCATTTTATAATAAATTTATGCCGTGTATAATTCTTTTAAATCAGTAAGTCCACAGTTGTATTAAGAAATATTTTATTAACAAAACAGTAAATTCCACTTGCTTAGCATTTCCAATAATGGATAAATTGGCCTTGCAACAGAAAAACAAAACAAAAAGAAAATCTTTAGGTACCCAATCACACAAAGCACTAGAAGGGTAGGATCATGTGGTCTCTCTTTGATGTCTTAGGAACTGACCACCTCACACATTACTGTAGTATTTTTTTTTCCCCCAAAGGCAACACATTATATGGATAAAAAAGAAGCATACTGAATCAGAAAAGTGACAATCTAGAGTTGTAGTCAAATTTATGCCAGGTTGTGTGAAGTCCTCTATTAATTGCAAACTATGCATCATGGAACCCTGATAGTTTTGGTATGAAGATACTTGGGATTTTTTTCTCTCCCTTGTTCATGGTTTCCTCTTTTCTTTCTCTATTCAGAAGAAAACCCAGAAAGAAATGACCAGTTTTGTGGAGGCCAATAACATTAGAAATACTTTTACTGACAATATTGCATCAAGTTGTTGTGTGAGACTTCAAAAATCTATGCTGGAAAGGAATATTAAAATCAATCCCTACCACCATGTTCCATTGTTACACTGCTTAACAATACCATGATTCAATTTATTTTCTTTCTTTTAGACATTTTAGATAACTAAAAGATACTTCTGTCTTTTAGAAGTTTTTCAGATGGAAATGAGTTCAGGTTCAGTATATCAAATGGAAAAGCAACCAATTTTTTCAAAAATCTCAAGCTGCAACTAGTAAGTTTATATTTACCTCTTTTTTCACTGGCTTTCCCTGAGTAATATTGAATGAGAGGAGAAATAAAATAATACGATGGGGAATTCTTTAACCTGGCAAATTAAAACAAAGACAAGCTTAAAGAAACGTAAGTAATGAATATTAAATTTCATAACTTCTACTCTCTGGGTCATGAAAAGTCTTTTAAGACTCTTGATACATCAATTACTTGGTGATCACAGACAGTAGTGATTTGCTATGGATTGCACATACTCCTACTGCACTGTATGTCTGGAAATCCAGGCCAATTCTCAGTTGTGGTTTTCTTAAATCACTGAAGTATCACAAAAGATGTTTTGCATTTTTTGCCTTTGCTGATTAAAGCTAATTTTAAATGTATTCTTCCATTCTATGAAATACAAGATTGTTTAAGACTGTTCTTTCAGGGATGTTCAAGTAATGCAAACAATTTTTACCAAAGCATCACCTCACAATCTAGCAATGTATTTTCTTTGCATTACCTTATTAAGCTAACAATTTATTGCTATGAACATCATTGAAACAATATGCAAAAACAAGTGTATATTCCAAACTGTTCTGCTATTTAATGGGTGTTAAATTAAAACTACATTAAATGATACATATGTAAAAGCAGAAAAGTTTAAATATGACCAATAATTAACAGATAGAAAATGATCTTGTAAGATGGGTAAGTAATACAGAATCAAAAATTGTTGAAAATACTTTGTTATTTGAGAAAGTGTTAACTTTCCAAAAATGTTTATCATGCACATCAGCTTTAAAAATGTCTATATTATTTCACTGGAAACAAAAGTTGTTAATTGCGGCAGCCAGGGTTAAGATGTACTCATAGATCAACCAATTTTGTTTCCATAACCTGCCCACATAATGATTCATATTCATGCAGCAGTATAACCAGTGGTATTTTATTTGATAAGAAAAGTTTCCATTTCATTAGGGACAAAAATCTTTTCAGGGCTTCCTGGGAACAAGATCTCAACGAAGCAAATCACCCCATTTGTCATCAATACCTTGGCACAACTATCTTTCTTCCTGCTTTTCAATTTTTCAGTAAATATCTGCTATTATACGCATGTTTGGTTCTCCCATCATATTTGATAAATTCCAGTGGTTAGCAATATCAGGATGTGTGTGTATGTGTGTGTGTGTGCATATACGTGATTGCAAATGGTGAATGCGGGGGGTATGAGTATTTTGGGGAGAAAAGAATATTATAAGATATATATGCATATATTTTGCCTTCTAATTCACACCTTTCATACAAATACTAAAACTTAATTGCAACAGAATGAAGGCTGTACATGTAAGAAAAAGATGTAGTTGAGCATTTTATATACATTCATACATATCTTCCTTAGAATAAACACTACACTGTATTTTGTAAAGTAAATTATTGTGGCAATTTATAATGGTGGTTAAAAAGAACAACAACAAAAATAACCCAAAACTGATATAATTGTTGCTCCAGATGTCATAAAACTTTCTATATTTAGCAACACTTGTAACATCGAATTTACCAAAAATGGCTGAAGAGTAGAGATATATTTTGCATTTTTCTATACAACAGGCTATAAAACATCACTTATCACAGTCCAGAAAGCACACAGAGATGGATTTTATATAAACATATGTAGTAACATATTAAGCGTGCATGAAAATTTCCCAGTGATTGCATCTATGCCCTCTTGTTTTTTTTAAATTTGTGTGAAAATGTGCCTTATATTTCACATTTCTGAAAATAAGGCCTCCATACTACTTTTAAAATTTTTTTTTTAAATCCCTTACAACCAGAAAGGGGCTTTTTGAATGTGTTCCTACACAAGTCTTCAAAAAAGCCAGCACTTTGTTTACAATGCAAGGTCCAACCACTGCTCCAGTTGCGCCAGGTGGCAAACTCTGAAAGGTTTGCAGGTTGAGTCACTCAAAATGACAGAGTCTTCTCTGGCAATCGGGCTAACTGACTTCTCAGGAAAGCACTAGCACTTTGGCTAAATCCAGGATCATAGGTAGCTTCTTTTTTTGTGTTATGTTTTGTGTTGTTTTTGTGTTGTGCCTTGATGTTGTAATACTCCTTTGCTTTATGAATGCGTGCAGTCATCACTGTCTTTAGGAATGTTCCAGCAACATAAAGACAGGCAGAGTAAATGAAAACACTGTGAATGTTAGGGAATTTATTGGCCCCTGTTTTGTTTATTTTTTTTTCTTATTTTTTTTTGAGAAACAAGAGCATGAGATACTTGTTTTTATTTTTTAAAAACAGTCTTTCCTTCCTGATTGCATTCCCTGTCTTCTTTTTGTATGTGCTTCGTAAAAAGGAAAGTAAATAAGTTTATATTATGTCTCAGATAAAATGAAGACTATTTCTATACAAGTGTCCTTTTAAGATCGCGGGATCAGACGTAATACTCTTTGTCCTTGTTTTTCTTGTTTTTGTTGGCGCTTTTCGCACTGCTGGGTTGTTTCTCCTTTACCACAGCCCCATTGGACTGTGCTGAGTTACTGATGTAGTTTCGACTCTCATCCACATGGTAGGAGCCTTCATCCCGGTTTCTGTACTTGTACATGGCGTAGAGGAGGATGAGGATGCACAGGGCAGCAGCAGCTACTATCCCAACGACCATGCCGGTGGTACTGCTAGATTCCCGGATCACTTCCGCTGAGCCTGGGTATGGCTCTCTTCCGCCTGCTCGGGTGGGGTTGGCTATAGGAAAGAGCAGGGGAACAAACACAAAGTGATTATGGAGTTTACAAAATGACAGAATTAATTAACATTAAAGACCTATTTCCATGCCTAATGGATTACCACCTATTGATTTAGGAAGAATATACTGTTGATCAGTGTAAAAATCCCAGTGTATCATGTGACTAATCAGGGACTACGGATCAAGCAGAGGAGCCCTGGTGGCCCAGCAGTTAAGCACTCATATGCTATCCGAAGGATTGGCAGTTTGAACCCACCCAGAATTGCTAAGAAAAGGTCTGGCAATTTTTGCTTCCATAAAGACGGCACTCAAGAAATCCCTGTAGTCAGTTCCACTCTCGTCACACGGGGTCAGTATTAGTTGGAACCCTCTCAACGGCACTCAACAAAGTATGAACTAAGCACTCAGGGAAAGACTGGTTACTTTGTTAATAGTGTCTTCTGCAGTCCTGATGTGGCACTGTGGGTTAATGCACTGGACTGCAAGGTCGGATGAACCACAAAGTCGGCAGTTCAAACTCACCAACCTGTCCTCGATATAGGGTCACTATGAGTCAGAACCATTTTGATTACACTTAACAACAGCAACAACCTCACATCCCCAAATATGCTCCATTTAACTCTAAAGACCCATATTGGCATGTTGAGTAAAAATCCATAAACCTAGCAAATAAAATGTTGTTGCTGTTGTTAAGTGACGTCGAGTCGGTTCCGACCCATAGCGACTCTGTATAGGGTTTCCAAGGAGTAGCTGGTGAGCTTGAACCGCAGAGACCTTGCAGTTCAAATGACTTTGGAGTCTGGCGCATTAATCCCACAGCGCCACACCAGAGGGGATCAATATAAGGAGCAAATTTATGCTGTTACAGACCACATAAAGATAACCTGAAACTGAATCAGAATAGCTAACAGTAGAATTCCCTTAGAATTCATGTGGTCTTCTATATTCATGAAAAGAGGTAATGACTACAATATTATACAATAAATGAATTTAGGAATTTTGAAAAGTTCTAATTGCCTCCATTTTAAATTGTGATTTTAGTCATATGTTTACAAACTGAAATGGGAACAAATTTTCTTTTCTGGTAAAAGCTTGTTTATGTAAGTGTGTATGTATATTATTTATTTGTTGGAAGTAGAATACTCACAAAGCTAAACTTTGGAGGAAAAAGTAAGAAAATATTCTTTCTCACTCTAAAATACTTCAAATATGCAGAGTCAGCAGTTCAAACCCACAAGGTACTCCTCAGAAACCCTATACAATGTCACGATGAGTCAGAACCAACTTGAAGGCACTTTACAACAAGAAGACTGGGTTTGAGTGAAAATTCATTACCTCATTTGTTGTTGTTGAGTGCAGTTGAGTTGGTCCCAACCCATAGCAATCCTGTATAGGGTTTCGGAGGAGGGGCTGGTGAGATTGAACTACCTACCATGTGGTTCAAACCAACTTTGCAGTCCAGCGCATTAACTCACAGCACTACACCAGTGCCTCATAAATGATAATAAAAGATTGACTAGCCTACCTTGATTCAACTCCTCATTCCATTTTCTCAACATGTAAAGAAAACTTCTCCTCAATTAGAAGAAATACATTATAGGGCATTTTAATATCTTCTCCAAGGCCTAATCAGACACTGGAGTTGACCACAGTTGGGGAAGGATAGCCTTTGATTTAGCTGATAGATAGGAGGGCTGGGGACCTTTTCCCTTCATCTACTAAACTTGATTTGTATCTTAAAATGTAGGAACTAGATGGAAAGGATTATATCCCAGATAAGACTCTAGCTCATTTTGTGTTGTTGTTCCTGTTTTTTTTTTTGTGTTTGTATTTGTGTTTTGTCTTTTCTTGTATATATCTTCAACTTCTCCCTTTTCCTACAGAAAAAGATCATCTGTTAGAGGTAGTAAATTTTTAAATACTCAACTTTTAGAATATTTTTATTGTTGTTGCTATTAAACCATCAAGGTGATTCCAACCCCTAGTGACTCTACAGCCTAGGATTTCCGAGGCTGTAAATATTTCTCCTGTAGAGTGTCTGGGAGACCAAAGGCTGACCTTGTGGTATACAGTCCAGAATAAAACACTGTTGTTGTTATGTGTCGTGGAGTCAGTTCCAACTCATAGCGAGGCTGTACAGGGTTTCCAAGGCTGTAAATCTTTATGGGAGCAGAAAGCCTCATCTTTCTCCCATGGATCAGCTGGTAGTTTCGAACTGCTGACCTTGCAGTTCACAGCCCGATTCATAACCACTAGGTTAGCAGAGCTCCTTAGTTTAAAACATTAGTCTTTGTAAATAATTCAGAATGAATTTAAATAATCTCAAAATTACATGACTATTGGATAAGCACACACACACAAGGAGCAAAAGGATATGAGAAGGCTACACTTGTGCTTTTATGTCACTGCTATTGAACAGTATTTAATCATTATTTTTAACCTTTCTACAAAAGTTCTTATTAGTTGGAATCATTTACCACACCGCTTTGCAATTCATTTCCAAATATCACCAAGGTTTCTTCTACCCAAATGTAGATTTCTTGCTGTTTCTTTCCTTTCCTTTTCACCATAAAGCCTTACAATTTAGTCACTTACAAAGTAATAGCTCTCAGTCTCAAAGCAGCAATATGCAATGATCTGGAGTTATAAAATGTAGCAGGTGAAAGCTTTCTATGCTGAATGTGTCACTGCATGTTTTACAAAAGCCCATGTAATGCTGCTGAATAAAAAGCCTGGGAGTTGCTTCTGTGGCCAAGGTGGAAAGAGACAAAGACTATAATCCACAGTATTTGATTCCAGGAAATTAATTTCTTCTCACAAATAGAACCTACTGCAGGAACTCTGTCACTACCTGACAAACTAAAGGCGGCACTTTCTCTTTCAAATACAGTCATCTTTGCCAAACTCTGCCAATTAGCTCAGCTGCTAACTTCCCTAAATGACAGCTTTATACTTACTCACTTTGTAGAACATTCTTGTATCAGAGAGTCTGAAGAGCTGACACAAGGAATTTTATTTAAATATTACTGCAATCGTGTTCCCCCCACACACACACCTGATGGAGTGCTTTAATTTTAAACACATTGGCACAATTATATCACTTTTTCTATCAGAATAGAATAGTGGAGTAGAGGTAAAATCCTAACCATGTAGCTCACTCTAACTTTTAGAGTATGAATGTCATGCAGGGTTTAATTTTTTATTTAGAATATGTATTTTTATTTAGATATTGGTCTTATAAATGTAGTACCTCGCCTAATTTTAATATAATTTTTATCTGCTCAAATACTTTCAAAACAACTCTGCACATGTTGTTGAAGGCTGTTGAGTCTATTCTGACTGCTCTTTAAAAGGGAGCAGCTAGTGGGTTTGAACCGCAGACCTTGCAGTTCAAACTGACGTTGCTGTCCAGTGCTTATCTTACAGTGCCACACACAACAAAAAAGTAATATTAATATTAATTGTAGAATGAGTTAATAAAGACCAACGAAAACCCTTCAATAAAAAATCCTAAAACTTAAACCCAATGAAGAAATAAATATTTTTTCCTGATTCACATTAAAATTTTAATAGCAATTAAAATATTGTTACAGGTCTGTACGTAATATGCAGTTGCTTCCATAGTGAAATGGTTAACCCATTTTTTTTTTCTGTTTCAAATCTGAAGGCTATGTAATATTTTTCTTTATGCAGCTCCACACTTTACTCACTGTACCTCTAAGACTTCTTAGATTACCACTGTTGTTGTTGTTATGTGCCGTGGAGTCGGTTCTGACTCATAGCGACCCTGTAGAAGGTTTCTGAGGCTGTAAATCTTTACAGGAACAGAAAGCCTCATCTTTCTCCCGTGGAACAACTGGTAGTTTCAAACTGTTGACCTTGAGGTTCGCAGCCCGATTCATAACCAGTATGCTACCAGATTACCATTAGAGAAGAGGAAATTGTCCCTCAGAGTAAACATATTTCTATTCAATTTCTTAGAAACAGTACAGCCATTCCTCCAATAAACTAAAAGCAAAAATAATAGTCTTTACGACTCAATTCAGCCCTTTGTCTTCCAACTGAAATTCCTCTACACAAATATCCTTGCTAGTAAGGATAGTAAAAAAAAAAAGTGTTTGCTTTATTTTTCATTTGAAGTCCATGGACTCTTTTTTTTTGTCTCTTACTACTTAATATGGAGTCCTGGCATGGCGTTGTAGGATAAACCATGGACTGCTAATTGCACGCCCAGTGGTTTGAACCTTCAAACTACTCCTTGGAAATCCCATACAGGGTCAATACTAGAGGGAACTGACTCAGCAGCACTTAACAACAACAACAGGACTCCTAAATACAAAAGGAACCCTGTTAGCATTGTTGTTGTTAGGTGCCATCGAGTTGGTACAGACCAATAGCAACCTTATGAACAGCAAAATGAAAACACGGCCAGATCCTGGGCCAACCTCACTTCACTACTGTTGCCACCCTTGAGTTTATTGATGATGCCACTTGGCCAATCCATCTTGTTGGGGGTCTTCTTCTTTTTCTCTGACCCTCCACCTTACCAAACATGATATCCTTCTCCAGCGACTGCTCCTGCCTGGCAACATGGCTGAAGTATGAGAGACTAAGTTTGGCCATCTTGGCCTCCAAGGAGCACTCTGGCTGCACTTCTTCCAACACAGATCTGCTGGTTCTTTTGGCAACTCATGGCACTTTCAGTATTCTACTGCAGCACCATAACTCAAAAGCATGAATTCTTCTACTGTCTTCCTTATTCACTGTCCAGCTTTTGCATGCATATGAGGTTATTGAAAATACCATGGCTTGGGTCAGGTGTACCTTAGTACTCAAGCTGACATCTTTGCTCATAGCAACCCTGTACAGGGTTGCTATGAGTTGTAAATGAAGCAGCAGTTAAAGAATCAAAGGACGTATTGCACTGGGTAAATCTGCTGAAGAAGACCTCTTTAAAAATGTTAGAAAGCCAAGATGGCTCCTTGAGGACTAAAGTACA